GGGGGGGGGGGGGGGAGAGAAATTACTGGCTCTGAGTAAATTACAATCTGTGTTATAAACTGATTATAATCCAAGAGCAAAACTCCCAATTTCTTTCAAAGAGACTATGTGCCATTTTCTTACTTTAAATAGGGGATCACATCTAAGGCCTTGGATTTCAAGCTATTTTTAGCCTATCATTTCAATGTTCAACGCCAAAATAATATCAATATAAAACTATCTTTAAATGGCTTGAAATAATTCCTAGTCGTCCAGGCTATCAGAATTGCTTACAAAACCAATAAAATCCAGAAAAAAAAAGATTTCCAGTAATTGTTTTCAGGCAAAGGAGACTGGAGTTCAGCAATTGGCAAAACAGCCCAAATTTGTAAAATGGCAATCAATAAATCCTACTCTTACGTCTCACACAGAGGCATAAACTTTAGTTTGGGGAAAAGAGTCCCTTCCCCCCAAAAATGTTGCCCATGTTTTACAACATAGTATAATAATTACAATTAGAAATCCACATCCACAGGGAAGGTTTGATCTATTCAGACACCCTACTTGAAAGGTCAGAGAAATCTAAAATGAACTTTGAAAAGATCTCCAAGCAGAATATTTAACTCTGATTTCCAAGAACACTTACATTGAATCAAGCTTGTGTCTTAAAATGGGAAGTTTCATTTTCTGGAAGATACTTGTACACAGACAACCTCATTCCCCAATCATTTCAAATCAACCACCTTCGCTTCAGATTCTCACCACCCACATAACATTTCCACCCTGTGTGGTATCACTGAGCAAAGCAAGACACAGAGGACCAGCCAGCTTACCTTCCCAATAACGGCTGCAGGACTCAGGTCACAGCTATTTTGGGAACATTCATCCCACTGCAGGAGGGGCAGGAGTGAAAAAGAGCTTGTGCCGTTTTGAGAAAGGCAAATCATGGTTTTGGCAGAATAGGGAAATAGGAATAGGAAATAGGAATAGGGAATAGAATAGGAAAATAAAACTTTTTGTTGTAACAACATCTGCTTCCTAAAGGGGTATCTCCTGCAATCGCTACTCCTAACACCACTTGCTCTGTTAGACAGGCATATGGGTCTCCAAGGATGAGATCTGATTCAACATGTACAACCTTGTCACAGTTAGTTGGTCACAGAGTAGGCTTTTCTACTGCTGTGCATGCCCAGAAGAGAGCCAACTACACATTTTCCACAATTTCCAAACCGCAATCACAAATGAGTCACAAGACAGAGACAATGCCACATCTTCCCAGGATTCAGGAGCAGAAAAGGCTTATTACCTTGCTTTCTTCTCCTTCGAACACTGACTGGTGAACATTGCATGCAAACAGTGAGTTGGGGAGGTCGTTGAAGTCAGTGATTGCTTGAAAGGCTTCCTCTGCGAAACACCGAGTTACAGCCCAGTCCCTGTCTATGCAGCAGAGCAAGAAAAGTTCTCCATCTTCCGGGGTATGCCCCTGCTGCCCGAGGCTCCTCATTCCAATGAAGTAAGATTCTCCCCTCATTCCTGAGGACACAAAGACGGACATGTGTTAGAACAAGCATCGATTCCTTAAAACTTGATCGTAAGGCCGAGCTGCCCAGTGTTTCCTAGACGTGGGACCCGGGAACATTACGTAAACTCTCTGAGCCTTTGCTTCCTTATGAGAATCAAATGGACTCAGGAGAGTGCTTTCATAAGTTAGACAATGAATTATAGAAAACCACTGCTGCTACTACTAATGACTGTCCTTTATTGAGTTCTAGGAACTGTTCTAAATGATCGACATGCATCAACTAACCTATTCCATCTCCACAATAGTCTATGAGATTGGCATCAACGTTATCCTTGTTTTACAGACAGGGAAACTGAGGAACAAAGCAAGTGAGTAGCTTTTACTATGCCGATGATGAAATGGCAGGACTAGAATTCAAACCCAGGGAGTTTGGCACCAGAGCTCACTTTCCTATATCATAGAAATGAAGCAGATCAAGATTAGTTCAAGTCTGTATTTAAGGAAGTACAACCTACTTCATCACCACCCGAGTCTTGTTTATGGTAACTCTAACAGTTAATAGTTTATCCACAATGAGGACACACACACACACACACACACCTACCTTCTGCCTGGGATGATTACTCTATTTGTGAACCTTGGATTTCGAAAATAAGTACTCTCTTGGTTAATAGATAGATCTATAGTAGATAGATCTAATAATAGATCTAATGGTATATAGATATAGATATATAGATATAGATATAGATATAGATATAGATATAGATATAGATTTCCTTTCCTCATTGTCCCCATCACAAAGCTTTCTCGTATTCATTTTACCTAGCTGTGTTCAATCATTCTATTACTTCCTCACTCCAATGTTCAGATTTTTATCCCATTGCAAATGGTTGGAGAGTTTTATCATTTTCTGATACTGACACATTGTAGTAGATTTTGTCCGTCTCCCCATATGCCCCAAGGATAGGTAGTGTCTACATTTTTCTTTTGTATCTATTTTCATGCCTATCATGCTCAATGATTAGAAGCCCAAAAGGTGAAATAATTTGTCCGGGGGACGCATGTAAGACTGACTGACACCTACAGTGTGGCTGCTGGGCCATCTTCTGGAAGTGCCATTTTCCCAGTCCCATCACTAAAGGGCCTCAGAGTACAGGACAGATGGGTGGGCAACACAGAACATCACTTTGCCCTCATGAGGTTTGTTAGACACAAATTCTGGTCCCCAAACAAGTACGGATGGGTTTCTGCATATGTCTCTCTTGAACTCTGATTAGATCACTCAGGTGATGAGGTTACGTTTTTCTGTTTTTATTTTTCCTAGAAACAAAGGCCAAGTGGGATCCTGGTAAGCATCATTCGATGGTAATATAAATAATGCGTTATATATAAAACCTAGGGCCTGGTTGGGACAAGAGCCAAAACTTTAAAATTGTGAGTTAGTAACTCTAAAAGCAGATCATTGTAATTGTGGTAAGTAAAAATCCTCGTCTATATAAAATAAAATAGAACAATTCCTGTATTTTAAAGTTAAAACTCCAATGAATACATTTTCTATATTTAAATTGACAAAGTACTTATTTTATTTTTTATTTTTATTTATTTTTTTAATGTTTATTTACTTTTGAGAGACAGAGACATAACTCAAGCAGGGGCGGGGCAGAGAAAGAAGGAGACACAGAATCCGAAGCAGGCTCCAGGCTCTGAGCTGTCAACACAGAGCCTTATGTGGGACTCGAACTCACGGACTATGAGATCATGACATGAGCCAAAGTCAGTGCTCAACCGACTGAACCACCCAGGTGCCCTACAAAGTACTTGTTTTAAATAAAAATGTTGTATATCTCTTATGCTTTGTTTTATTCTATAATTAATCCAAAATATATGAATATTTGTAATTACAAAAATTTCAACAAAATACTTATATGTATTTTTTCCTTCATATTCATTTATACTATTGCTTCAAATGTTACTATAATATGCATAATAACCATCATTTATTATTATTAGAGTACTAATTATTTTAATAGTAAGAATAATTAGTAAGAGCATTAAAACAGTATTATTTTCATCAATGGATTATAGGAAAACCTTTTAATAATGAAGTTATAGTCATCCAGTAGCATGAAGTATAGCTATTATGTGTCAATACTGATTTTATTATTTTTTTTTATTTAAAAAAAAAAATTTTTTTTTCAACGTTTTTTATTTATTTTTGGGACAGAGAGAGACAGAGCATGAACGGGGGAGGGGAAGAGAGAGAGGGAGACACAGAATCGGAAACAGGCTCCAGGCTCCGAGCCATCAGCCCAGAGCCCGATGCGGGGCTCAAACTCACGGACCACGAGATCGTGACCTGGCTGAAGCTGGACGCTTAACCGACTGCGCCACCCAGGCGCCCCAATACTGATTTTATTTTTAATCCTGTCCCTCTTATTTAAAATTTTTAAATTAATCAAAATTAATCCCCAAATGTCCCTAAATATTTTCCGAGAATGTTTCAATTACTCTTTTTCCGAAAGAAATAAAAATCCATTGCTGAACAAATTAATTAAATAGACCAAATATTAAGCCTTACTCAGGGCTCATTTTAATCTACTCAAATAGCCTTAACTTCTGTTCTAAGCTGTAACAATACGATTATCTTCAAGAGACTTTATTTTAAGCTCATTACTTTCAGTAAAGATTTAAAAGGTGAATGCATTTTTGGCAAACAACGTATTCTACTTATATGGAGAAATATTTTAGAAGTCAGAGCTCTGAACAAAGGCACCCTGATTTCTCGTGCCAGTTCCATTACTGACTCAACTCATAATTTGGAGAAGTCAATCGATCATTCGACGACTCAGTTTATCTTTATAAAATGAGAACAAGCACATCTCTCTGTTTCCCTCCCTCTGAAGAGGAGGAAGGGGAGGAGGAAATGAAAGGGGAGTGGAGGAAGTGCTCAAAATCAGTACTAACAACTACATAAAAGGATAAGTAATATAAAACACTCTAGAAACACATCATTATGATAATCTCAGAGCAGGACTATTCGGCATCACCACTAACCTTTAGTAAACCCAAATAAACACGAAGAAAGGGAAGCTCTGAAGACCCAAAGAACTCCCCAATACAGAAATGTAAAGGCCCTACAGCCTTTCTCTTTTTAAATTAATCTCAAGACTCTGAACTGCTTGTAAAACAAGTTTGAGGCAACAGTTACCTGCACAGCATAAGAAGATTTACATGTGTCATCCTTATTTCTAAACCTGTGGTTGGTCATCCAAATGATGAGCTGCCTCTTGAGCTGAAGGCAGCTCTTCTGCGAGGGTTTGCCAACCACCCGCCCACGCCCCCCACGCCCCCCACGCCCCCCACGCCCCATGCATATGGCATCCTTCCTCTGCGCATCCTAAGCACACAGCACACAGCCTTCTCTCCCGATCATCGTGCAACATGCCTACTGCTTTACCAGTCTGTATCTCAAACCAGAGCAGATGTTTTTAACAGGAGAGACTGGCTTCACCAGTGAGTCTTTAGACTGGGTCATAGAGAAAGCCCTCAAAATGATGTTCGACTGAATTAATGAATTCTGTAAGGAGGAGTCATGTTCAAAAAATAACAGACAAGCAATGAGTTAAAGTGGCCAACTTAAAATACATACACTAATAATATAGCATTTGCTTCAAATCCATCCACTAATAAGGAGGACAACCTGCTCACTCCAGTGTTAAGGTTTGACTTATAAAATGCAATTGTATAAATGAGAGATGGCAAGAACCACTCAAATGATTCCTCTAGCCGAAATGGAAATTCTGCAGGGTCTAATTAAAATCACACTTACATTTTTTTAATTACACAAGTTCACTCAAGAAAAAACTGAAAAATTCAGAAAGTATTTTAAAAAGAAAATAAAAGCAAACCATAATCCTACTATCCAGAGAAAATTGTACTAACATTTTGGTCTAGTTAGCTGCAGTGTTTTTTTTTTTTTCACATGTATAATTTCTAAACAAAATTGGGATCCTGCTGTTTCATATCCCGCTTCTTTCTTGAAACATTGATATAATCAAGAGCAGTTCCCTGTACCATTATATATTCTTTGAAAACACTAATTTTAATAGACACGTAGTATCCCAGTGTACAGATCTGTCATGATTTATTTAACCATTCTTCTGTTGTTTGACATTTAGGAAGCATAAATTTCCATCATCATGTGCATCTGGTAAAGGAAAACCACTATCCACTATTAAAATATAAAGGGTCCCCTGGAAGAACCTCAACACTTCCTTACATGCAGAGAAAGGACATCTTTATGAAACGCTAGGAGGGGCCCCAGGAGGACACTTGGGTTCCATTCCTTCCGTACATCACATCCCTTCTGGACTGTGGTTTTTTACCTCAGCAAAATGGAGAAACAACGTGACTTTGTCTACCCTGTGGTCTCCCATGAATATCAAATGAGATAAAGCATATGAATGTCTTTTGAAGCTTCCAAAATAATATGTGAAGTAAAGCGATTCATTACTCTTGTAGGCTCATCGAGAGCAAGGCAATAGCAAAGGAATCTGGCACTAAGGAGGCGGTTGCCATCTACTACTGCTAAGTATGTGGACACATGAATGTCCAGGAGTGTTAAGCCCATAGTATTTAAAAAAATTTTTTTATGAATATAATATATTGTCAAGTTAGCTTACCTACAACACACAGTGCTCATCCCACAAGTTCCTCTTCAATGCCCATCATCCATTTTCCCTTCTCCTCCACCCCCCCACCACCCATCCACCCTCAGTTTTTTCTCTGTATTTAAGAGTCTCTTATGGTTTGCCTCCCTCCCTCTCTGTTTGTAACTTATTTCCCCCTCCCCTTCCCCCCATGGTCTTCTGTCAAGTTTCTCAAGATCCACATATGAGTGAAAACGTATGATATCTATCCTTCTCTGACTGACTTATTTCATTCAGCATAACACCTTCCAGTTCCATCCATGTTGCTGCAAACGGCAGGATTTGATTCTTTCTCATTGC